TCTTTGGCTTCGAGCTTCGAGCCATGCTTCACATTAGGCGCTACTGTTTTTTTGCACACGGACCTACTGCTTGTGCAGGGCCTTCATTTTACGACTTCCAACTCCCTTTGAGTCTGTCTCATGAGTTCCTTATATCATTGATTCATCTGATAATTTTCTGTCTGATGTTCCTACTGTTTTTTTGCACACGGACCTACTGCTTGTGCAGGGCCTTCATTTTACAGACTTCCAACTCCCTTTGAGTCTGTCTCATGAGTTCCTTATATCATTGATTCATCTGATAATTTTCTGTCTGATGTTCCTACTGTTTTTTTGCACACGGACCTACTGCTTGTGCAGGGCCTTCATTTTACGACTTCCAACTCCCTTTGAGTCTGTCTCATGAGTTCCTTATATCATTGATTCATCTGATAATTTTCTGTCTGATGTTCCTTCAGATTCTGCTGGAGAAATGTTCTAGTTTCTATGTTTGAACAATTTTTATTTTGAGTTTCTTTACATATTGGAGTGAAGTAAACAAGAAACTGACCTACAAATGTTGTTTCACAGCTGACACCGATGTAGCGACAGCCGACAATCACCATTTATAACACAAGAAAATTCCTTCCTTGGACCTGAGAAGAGTTCGGTTTCCTTCTTCGGTCCTTTTAGATTTGAAATTACCTATTTGGTCTGAAATCTAACTTTCTTTTCGTATATGGCCCTTCCATAAAATTTGGTCACTATGGGTGTTAAGTGGTGGATGAAATGATGAACCCCTAAGCAAAATAGGTAAGGGTTATTTTTAGACTATTTTCGCATAGTTTGAAGTCATCATAATTGCAGAAAATAAGGTACATTCTATCCAAAAGTAGTCTAAATAATCACCAAAATGAAATATATGAATGAAAACTAAACTTACCTATTTCGCCCATGTGTAAAATTGATATTTCATCCTCCACTCAACACCGTTAATTGCCAAATCTGATGGAAATGTCATAAAAGGAAGGAAAGTTGGATTTCAGGCCAATTAAGTAAGTTCAAATCTAAAAGGACCAAGGAAAGAAGTCAAGTTTTTAGGGCCAATAAAGGAATTAGGAAAGTTTTTTTAGGGCTAAGGAAGGAAGCCGAACTTTTTTTAGTCAAGAAAGGAATTTTATCACATAGAGCCACGGAAACATTTTCCTTAAAAAGAAATTTACGGGTGGTAATCGCAACTTGTCTTGAATTATTTGTAAATTACACACCCTGCTCGTTAAAATTGTTCTGAGTTAGACTTTAAATTGCATGAAAAAAATTACGTGTAGTCTGGCTGCACCCACGTTTCCTACAGACTCCATCCCGATGCCGTCCACATGGAGATCGGACACCCCCTGGTTCACCTCCGCACGGCACACGCACGTCGCTCAGCCCGAATTTTTTACATTTTAACCATTTTTTTTTGAAAGATTCTCGCAAATAGACCTCTAACGAAAAGAATTTAGAAAATGAACCCTTATCTCGGCGCCATTGATTGAAAGCCGCGGCGGATGACATGCCGGGGAGCTCGGCGCCATGACATTCTAGCGTCGAACTCGGCGCCAAAATCTACGGCGCCGAGCTCGACGCCAGTCACTCTGGTTCTGGCGTCGAACTCGGCGCCAAAATCTACGGCGCCGAGCTCGGCGCCAGAGTGACTGGCGCCGAGCTCCCTAGTATGTCTATGTGCCAAGAAAGCGACCCCAGTTTACGGTGGTCGCGTCGCCATGTCCCGTGGTGGCGTCACTAGTCACTAGTCACTCACCAGCACTGCGCCCACGTCGATGCTACCAGCCAAACTATTGCCACTCGCCGGTCGCGCTGTACGGAGTATGTTTATTATCACTAGTACTAGTACTAGTGAGCATACACTTTTTTTTGAGAAATACTAGTGAGCATATTTTCCAGAGCATACTCCGTACTACTTGTCACTAGTGAAGCTCAGGGAAACTGTTCTGGTAGGACTACCACTTTTGCCGAGACAATGAGCCCGTTTGCTGGTTGATTTCTGGATTGGTAAGCCCGGCTGATGTCGGTTTGTTATGAGAGAAAAACACAGTTGACTGGCTGATAAGCCCTGGCTGAAACAACAAGCAAACATGCTGAATAAAATCCATCAAGAAAAGTAAGCAGGAGACCGATCGATCAATCGATGGATCAACAAACGAAAATATTCAGCATGTTCGCTTGTTGATCCACGAACATTTTATTTTCGTTTGTTGATCCATATGAAACGAACGTTTTACCCTTCACTTAACACCATCAACGAACATTTTATTTTCGTTTGTTGATCCATCGATTGATTGATCGGTCTCCTGCTTACTTTTCTTGATGGATTTTATTCAGCATGTTCGCTTGTTGTTTCAGTCAGGGCTTATCAGCCAGTCAACTGTGTTTTCCTTTCATAACAAACCGGCATCAGCCGGTACCAATCCAGAAACCAACCAGCGAACAGGCTCATTGTCTCGGCAAAAGTGGTAGTCCTGCTAGAACAGTTTCCCTGAGCTTCACTAGTGACAAGTAGTACGGAAAACCAACCAGCGAACAGGCTCATTGTCTCGACAAAAGTGGTAGTCCTGCTAGAACAGTTTCCCTGAGCTTCACTAGTGACAAGTAGTACGGAGTATGTTCTGAAACGGAACCAAAAGAGGCACCGAAAATATGCTCACTAGTATTTCTCAAAAAAAGTGTATGCTCACTAGTACTGGTGACAATAAACATACTCCGTATAGCACGAGCTGCAGTGCAGCAACAGCACATGCACAACATTGTCATCTGGCTTTAACTTTTGCTGTTGTCGGGGTCACTGAACGAGTGAACGCGAGACTTTCATGACAAGCTCTAGTCCCCCGGGTCTTCGGCGAGAGCCGAGAGGTCGAGCTTGAAAGTTGAACCGAGCCTCACGCCGCGGCCGTCCCATCCGGGTAGAAAATTCCCACTCGGCTGGCTGCTTGCTTTGGACCGGTGTTGGCATCGCACTGGCCGTCTACAGCTGCCGCAGAAAATTACGGGTACCGGTGCCGCTAGCAAGCGTAGCAGGCTAGCGTAATCTCATTTTCACTTGACAGTTGCAACGACATCTACTGGTTACTGTCACGCTTTGTAGATATCGCCGTATGGTATTGGTATCGTTTGCACAGCCACAAGCAGGCAGATAAGATTACAGGCTTACAACGACGGTCCATTAGCCCGATGATCGACGCAGCAGGTAACGGCGACCGGCGAGTGGCAATAGTTTGGCTGGTAGCATCGACGTGGGCGCAGTGCTGGTGAGTGACTAGTGACTAGTGACTAGTGACGCCACCACGGGACACGGTGACGCGACCACCGCAAACTGGGGTCACTTTCTTGGCACAGTGACATGCCAGTGAGCTCGGCGCGGCGCCAGAGTGACTGGCGCCGAGCTCCCTGGCATGTCATCCACCGTGCCCAGGAGCTCGGCGCCAGCATCAATGGCGCCGAGCTAATGGTCCATTTTCTGAATTCTTTCCATCAGGGGTCTATTTGTGAGAAACTTTAAAAAAGGGCTAAAGTGTAAAAAAATCGGTCGCTCAGCTCGAGAACCGCGGCTCGGGCGCTCAGCTCCACTGGACGGGCGCGAGCGTCGGATTCTTCGGGATCTCCACATGGACGACATCGGGATGGAGTCTGCAGGGAGCGTGGGTGCAGCCAGACTGCACTAATTTTTTTTTCCAAATTGCATGCATCCTACTAGGACTATCTAACTTATTTTGAGTTGTTATTCATGTCCTAGTACTAACAAATTGTACTCGGTTTTCTAAACTTGTATTACTATATCATAATATCAGCCCACCTCCTCCCTCACTTCGTGTCGGCCTCACCTAGTCGCGCTACATGTGTCTACCTCACCTATATGCATTTGTGTTGTGTTGCATCATGGTTGCCTTGTCACCACACGTGTCCCCACTATCGTGGCCCTCCTCGCTCTTGCTCAATGTGTCCTCCTCGCTTGTGTTCGATGAGTGGCCAATCAACTAATCAAGCCCCCACTATCGTGGCCCTCTTCACTCTTCCTTGTTTGTGTCGTGTTGCACCACTGTTGCCTTGTCGCCACACGATGTGTCATGGCCCTCCTCGCTTGTGCTTGGCGAGTGGGCAGTCAACGTTGTTGCTCGATTCGCTCCTACCCCACCTTAGCAGCACCAACCCGTGCCCTTGCCCCACTGCAGTCACACTTGGCAGCCGATACCACCACACTCCTTCCTCTCCCCCGCCATCTCCTTGCATCACTCCCCACCCTTCCAACCTTTCTTGCCTCCCGCCGCGATGAGATCGCCCGCATGGACCGATGGATGTGCACGCCTACACGACCATTAACCTTTCTTGCCTCCCGCCGCGATGAGCTCGCCTGCCTGCATGGACCGATGGACGTGCACGCCTACACGACCATGGATGGGTGAGGCACACCTCGGCAAGGACACAATATGGGGGCATGCAGGCACGTTGCTGCGGCGTGGCGGTGCGACGTTGAGCCAGCGATGAAGCGTAAGGGCATGTTCGGTTCGCACGGGATTGAGTCCTGGAACCAATCCGGCCAGGAACGTTGCTGTATTTTATACAGCCAAGCATCACCGGGAACCGTTCCAGCCAGGAATGAGCCTAACCGAACGGGCCCTAAGTAGGCAAGAGGGTGGTGGATCGAGTTGTGCACATGCAGCAGGGTATGGCGAGGACAACCCAATACAGACGGAAGGGGGGGAGGGGGGTAGGGGTCATAGGACAAGTTTAGAGAGTGCAATGTACAATCAGAATAAGGATGAGAACTTGGACAAGTTTGGAGAGCGAAATATGCAATTTACAAGTAACGACATCAGCATAAGAACTCTGGATATATTTAAGTATTGGCAGTAAAATTTACTCTCTTTTTCCATATCACATCCACCGCAATACTGTATCAGTCCAGCTACTGTTTTCAAGAAGTTATAGCCAACGGCCAAGGGCCATGTACTACCAGAAAACGGGGCTATTGTAAAAAAAGATACTCAAGTTAGACCTCCACTTAAAACTAGCGCTGCCTGATTTATGACTCGAGAGACCCTGTAAATCTCATGCTGTACAGATTGCCAGGATTCAGAAGTATTTATTTTCTTCGCCCTCTGAATGGCGTCATCAACACCTGGATACACTTGAGCCCCGTAATCGTTGTGCAGTGAAGGTGCGTAAATCTGTGTGATTTCGTTTCCGTGAGTCTGGCAATAACATGAGCTGATGACAGTATTTTCTCAGAACCCACCAAAAGAACTTACCAGGTGTTTGTACCATGGCCGTCCAGACAGTCCTTCCCGGTCTGTGAACGCCCGTTCGGTCATCATCAGCCGGTCATTGATTTCTCTGACCTTCAAGGGATTGTTTCTCCATGGGGCCCAAATTTTCCATGTCTGTAGAGCCTATATAAAAAAATAAAGTAAAAAGTTAAACAAAGTTGAAACCATGGATCAGGCAACAACACGCAGCAATCAGGAGAATAGATACCTTCAATTCAGAATCCACTTTCAGAACTGCCTTTCTGAACACTTCGATTGACTTGTGCAGGGGTGATAAGCTGACAGACATTCCCAGTACTGTTTCACTTATACCTAATGCTCCATTCTGATAACAAGGATCAACTGTCATGATTCTCTAAATTTGGAGTTCTCATTGAAAAATAGAAAGCGAGCAATTCTGAAACAGGTGATCCATAATTTGTTTGAGAGCTCCGAAGGACAGGTTACCTCAAGCTCCGTGACATAATTGCTGTAGTTGAAGGGTAGGATCTCCTCATCTGAGAGCCTAAGAGCAACAAGCCCCCACATGCTCGCAACTAGAAAGGAAACATCAAGTTAATTTTAGATGTTGCGATAGACTATCAAACAAAATTTAGCATAATCCACTTTCACTGATCAACTCCGTCAAAGTAAGGATGAATGATCAAAATCACAAAGGAAATTTCACCCCAACAATTTTATAGGCATGTTTCATTCTATAAAGACAAAGCTTTTTTAACATACTGTGGCTGTACGAAAGAGCTAATAAGTAAACAAGATGTACTCCCTCCGTCCTAAAAAGAATGCAATTCTCACTTGCCGAGAAGTCAAACAATTTTAAGTTTAACCAAACCTATACAAAAATTACTAATATTTACAATACCAAATAAATATCATTAGATTACTTATGAAAAATATTTTCATAATAAACCTATTTGCACACATAAATATTTATACTATTTTCAATAAACTGTCAAACTTTGACTCATCCCAAACTTAGAATTGCATTCCTTTTGAGACAGAGGGAGTATATTACAATCTGACCTAAAGTAGTGTTCTAGAGAAAACTGCGTGCAGAAGTAAAATAGTTCCAGTGTCCTCAAAATGAAAAATGGTTAGAAATGTATCACGTTTTTCCTTCCAGCAGCTGACAAAGCATGCCATGAAATATAGCGTGTAAGTATGTAAACCCAAGGGTCAGACACATCCGTGGCAAAGGTACAAGTCCAAGTCTGTAGGTTGGTGTAAACATACCTGCAACATGCCTCTGGAACAAGGGATCTCCAAACTTTTCCATCCAGATGAAGTCATCATACAAGCTATGATAGACTGCATAGTCTGCAAACAAACAGCACAAAATGGAAAACAAAAATCAATAGGATTACCTTTTTTGCGTTGTTTCTCTATGAATTGGCTATGCTTCAGAATTATATTGTGAAAGGGAAGATATCTAGTAAAAATAATATTTTATTTGATTAATCTAAAAAATAAAATTTAAAGACGAATTTAAATAACAGTATAGCAGATCATTTCAAGGAAGGTTGTTAATGAAAGCAAGTATATATACAAGAAAGTAGAACAAACCTGACCCAATCGTCATGTCCACTGATGGAATACCAATGTGTTGAACAAATGCAGAATAATCTGATCCTCCACCTCCTAATCTTCCAATCTTAATGCATACATTTGTCAACAGAACTCTCATTAATTCATAAGAAATCTAAAACTTGCATCTAATGCAGCAAAAGCAACACAGCCTGAACTTGGAACAAAGATGAAACAAAACTAGGTCAATGATTCCCTTTACATGCTAACCACTTGAAATACTGAAAGACGACAAGCTTGTGTTAAGAAAAAGGAATGGCTTTAGCTAACATTAACTACTTACCAAAGGAGAACTGTTAGAAGCCATCCACAGATCATAGAGACTCTGTGTCCCATTGTCTGGATTTTGGACCTTCGTCAATAACAATGAAAACAGAAAATGTTTAGAGAGACAGACTAATTGACTGGTACAAGAAGTCACCATGTGACTTTAGTCATAGTCAGCAGATGTTCATACTAACAGAAACTGTATATCCAAGAAAAACCAATTAAATCACAAATCAAACTGCTAATAGTCAATAATCAATAATTTTTGTTCCTCTGATTGTACTAATTATTGGACTGTACCCTTTACATAACTACAGGATCCATACAATTAAGCCACTTGTACAATTTCTGGTCACATAATGAGTTAAATTCTCTCTGTTAACTCCAAAATTCTGCTATAATTCTTTCAAATTTCTATACCTGCTTACTAGCTTCTTTAAGCAATTCATCAAGTTGAGGAGTTGCAGATGCGTAAAATCCATAACCATCCACCGCAATATCAACATTTAGGTAAGCAACAGTTCTTGAAGTTAGCATTGCCCTGTTCTCCTCGACCCATTCAGTGGATCCTGTCTGCAATGTTCCCCAAAGAAAATTGTATCAAGAAGACATGTCAATTGTTCGTTCAAAAAAACAGGACATGGTCATGAGCAATTGAGTTTAGAGAGAGACCAATCCATACTCTTCGGCATCCCAGTTGCACAAGATGATGGTTCGTCGAGGTCTCCAGCCCTTCTTTTGCAGCTCAGACAACCGTTGAGCTAGCTACATCTAATGGAAGTTAATACACAAGAAGTCGACCAAATCTTAATTAGAACATAAAACTGAGTACCCACATATAGCATACCTCAAGCAAGGTTGCTGTCCCACTGTTCGGATCAGCTGCCCCAAATGTCCATGCATCACGGTGATTTCCAAGGATTACATACCTGCATGTTTTACAATGATAATTGCACAGAATTTGTACAGATTTTTTTTTAACTTTCAAAGAACGAGATTGGAAAGTGATTAAGTAGTTTGAAATACCATACAAAATCTGTGATATATATTTAGCACTAAGTGGTTCATGGTGACTATTTCATCACTAGCCACCCAAAGTTCCGTAAATGATGGTGTTGCGGCCTCGGGATCTCAGGGCATAGGGATGTGAGGAGGAAGGCCGAGGCTTGGTTTCCCGGCGGCGGGTCGGTGGCGCCGTGCTCGGCGCCTGGATTGCCGGATCGAGAACAGTAACCCGAACAGGGCAGCGCCAGAGAGCAAGAGAGGGTAATCCCAATCCTCTGGCTAAACTTTATTAAGCACCAATGTTCAATACTTATACTCCAATCCTAACCACTTTCAGCTAATGCAAAGGGATCACAACCAAATGACTCATATCCTAAATACTCTCCTAAACTCTAGGATCTAGCAACCGACACTCAACTGACGCTGGTGATGGTGACCGCGCTCTGGCCCGGCGCGCTCTGGCCCGGCTCGGCGCCTTGGCCCGGTCCACTTCTCAGCCACTGGCCTTCTTCTTCCTTGTGTAGACGTTGCCCACCATAACATCTCTCCCCCCCTCGGGAAACAGCTCGTCCTCGAGCTGGAAGGAGGGATGCGCGGTGCGGAAGGCGTCCACTGGTTCCCAGGTAGCTTCAGAGGCCGGCATGTTCGCCCACTGGACCAGAATGTGCCAAACACCACGCCGGAGGCTGGAGCGCAGGACATGGTCCTTCTGCTGCAACAGACGACCGTGCTGAAGAGGTGGCAGAGGTGGGGTGGACGCCGGAGGATCTCCATGGAACGGCTTCAAGACTCCCACATGGAACACATCATGGATACGCGCACCCTCCGGCAGCTGGAGCCGGTAGGCCACCGCGCCGATGCGCTCCAACACCTGATAGGGCCCAGCATACTTGGGTCCAAGCTTGTTGCTGCGCCAGGGAACAAGTGATCAAGGCGGGCGGTCAAAGAGATCCGGTTACACCCACCCACCCACGGAGAACTCCGGTGTGCGATGATGAGCGTCGTAGTGCCGACGGGCGCGTACTCCTGCGCGGAGCAAGCGAGTCGCGGACCTCCCCGGAGAAACTCGTCGCGGGCCGGATGCGGTAGGGCGTCGACGGTGTCCGTCTGCTGCGAGCCCGCTCATAGGGCAACAAATACCGGTGGAGCCCGGCCATAAACCACCGTGAACGGTGTTGTGTGGAGGGCCGAATGGAACGCCATGTTGTAGCAGTACTCCGCCCACGAAAGCCAATCGAGCCAGTCCCGAGGCCGGTCCCCGGTGATGCAGCGAAGGTACATGGCGATTGTTTTGTTCACGGCCTCGGACTGGCCGTCGGTCTGTGGGTGGAAGGCGGTGCTAATCCGCAACTGGACGCCGGCCCTCCGGAAGAGATCACACCAAACGTTACCGGTGAACACCGGATCACGGTCGCTGACAATGGACTCGGGGAAACCATGCAGGCGCACAATGTCGTGGAAGAATGCGCGTGCGACTGACGACGCCGTGTAGGGGAAGCCGAGGGCGAAATGGGCGTGCCGAGAACTCACAACCACGGTGAGAATGACGCTCTTGCCGTGTACCTTGGGCGGGGCTCCACGAAGTCCATCGCAATGTCCGCCCAGACACGGGACGGCACCGGCAATGGCTGGAGAAGGCCGGCTGGGTGCAGCGCCGACGTTTTGTTCCGTTGACAAGTGGCACAGAGCGACGAAGTCGCCGACCGCGCGGCGCGGTCGTGGTCGAGGGCGGTAATCCGCGCGAGACGTTGGGCGTTTTTACGACGCCTCGTGGCCACCGTGGGGGCGAGCTGCAGGACTTCGGTAGGACAGCCGAGGTGCTTTGGTACAAAGACGGCCTTTGTGGATGATGAGGCCGTCGCGACGCGCTCAAGTGTCACCGTGGTCACCGCAGCGACGGCGTCACGGGCGGCACGCAGCGTCGTTGGTGGTGAGCTCTGGCGCAGCTCGTCGTCGTAGAGGCAAGGCGAGCAACGAAATAGCCTCCGTGAGTGGCGCCAGAGAGGCTCGTCGCCGTCCGCGGCGTGATGAGCGCGTCGCCACCACGGTGTTGAGCTCCGGGATGATATTCGACCACAAAATCAAAACCAAAAAGCTTGGCGACCCATCGATGTTGTGGGATCGTTGATGGTACCGATCCAAAGATGTATTTCAACGCGTAGTGATCGGTCGCACTATGAAGGCGCCGCCACGAGATATGGATGCCGCGATGAAACAACGGCTTGCACGAGCCCGATGAGCTCACGCTCGTAGGCGGCCACTTTGAGGTGGCGCGCGGCGAACGGCTTGCTGAAAAAGGCCAGCGGTCCGGCGCCTTGATGTAACACCGCACCGAACCACGAGCTCAAGCATCACACCACCACCAAAAATCCTTGCTCAAGTCTGGCGTGTGGGGCGAAGGGCAGACAGTATGTATGCGTTCTTCAGGTACGCAAACGCCGAGGTGGCGCGTCGCACCAATGAAACGCATCTTTCTTGAGAAGCTGGGTGAGCGGGGCTGCAATGGTGCCGAAGCCTTGTATAAAGCGCCGGTAGTAGCCTGCTAAGCCCAGGAAGCCGCGCAGGCCACGCGCCGGTTGTGGCCAGGCCCGGACTGCCTCCACCTTGGCCTCGTCCATAGACACACCCTCGGCGGAGATCACATGGCCCAGGTACTGGACCGAAGAGGTGGCGAAAGCGCACTTGGAGCGCTTGATGTGCAGCTCGTGGTCCCGAAGGACGTCAAGGACGGTGCGGAGGTGCTGCAAGTGTTCGGTCCAGGAGGCGCTGTAGATGAGAATGTCGTCGAAGAAGACGAGGACGCAGCGACGCAAGAACGGCTTGAGGACGAAATTCATGAGTGCCTGGAACACCGAGGGCTCGTTGGACAAGCCGAACGGCATGACCAAAAACTCAAAATGGCCATGGTGAGTGCGGAACGCCGTCTTGGCCACGTCTTCAGGGTGGACGCGGACCTGATGGTACCCGGACCGAAGGTCCAGCTTTGTGAAGAAGCGGGCACCGTGCAGTTCGTCCAGTAGTTCTTCAACAACCGGGATGGGAAACTTATCCTTGACTGTGACTGTGTTGAGCGCCCGATAGTCGACACAAAATCTCCAGGTGGCGTCCTGTTTTTTCACCAGCAGGACCGGCGCCGAGAAGGGAAAGGTGCTAGGGCGGATGATGCCCTGCTGAAGCATCTGCTCACATTGCGCCTCGAGCTCATCCTTTTGCAACTGAGGGTATCTGTATGGGCGGACAGCCACAGGCGCAGTCGCTGGCTTGAGATGAATGCGATGATCACACGGACGCACCGGGGGCAGACCAGACGGCGAGGCGAAGACGTCCTCGTAGGCGTCCAGTAAGCGCTCCAGGAGCGTCAGCTCAGTTCCGCGCGCAGCGTGGACGCGGGCGGCGTGAAGACGGCCCGTCGGAGGAATGTCGGTGCGGGTGGAGCCTATGCCCTTCCTGAGCACGCGCTCGGCCTTGGTGTGTGAAGGCCATGCAAAGGTCGTCGATGTCCCAGAGGATAGGCCCCAGGGTGCGCAGCCACGCGACCCCGAGAACCATGTCGTGGCAGTCGAGGGGAATGGAGTAGCAGTCCACCGTGAAGTACTCCTCTCCGATCCGGATGGCGACGTCGCGCGTGAGACCGCGGCACGCCACGCGGTCACCGTTCGCCACCACGACGTGGGCGCCGTGGCTGTCCTGGAAATGGAGACCGGCGCGTCGAGCTGTTGCAGTGCTGATGAAGTTGTGAGTCGAACCGGAGTCCAACAACGCCGTGAACTCATGCCCGCCGATTTGGACGGGGAGCTGCATGGTGTCCTCCGTTCGGATGCCCGTGATCGCAGAGAGAGAGATCAGTGGCTCTTCTGGATCGAACGGCGGCTGGGACGACGCGGCTGCTGCTGGGGCAACGTCTTCCTCCTCTGGTTCCTCAACAATGTAGTCGGACGCCTCAAGATAGAAGAGTCGGGCGCATTTGTGACCGCGAACATAGGGCTTGTCACAATTATAACAGAGGCCTTGCTTGCGGCGCTCCGCCATCTCGTCCGGTGACAAGCGTTTGAAGGCGCGTGGTGTTTGTGCCGATGAAGATGACGCAGTCCCTGGGAAAGCGCCGGTACCGGCAGCGCGCGTCTTTATCCACCATGGGCCCGTGCGTGCTCTGGCGGCGGCGCGCGGCGCGCAGAGCGAGCGAGTAGAGCAGCGCGCTACGCGCCGCCAGACGCGACGCGCCGCCAGATCGCGATGGCGCTACCTGAAGGTCCTGCGGATCATGAAGCTCCACATCGACGCGGATGTGGTCCGGCAGCCCACCGGTGAAGAGTTGAGCCTTCTGGAGTGGCGACAGATGGCCCGCGTGCGCCGCACGGGCCTGGAACGCCTCCATGTAGGTGTCCACCGTGGACGTGAAGGGCAGCCGCGCCAGGTCCGCCAAATGGTTGGTGCTGAGCGGCGTCCCGAAGCGCTGCTGGCACAGCTGCCTGAACTCCGCCCACGACGGTCAACCGGCATCGTTCTCGAGGACTAGGTACCACTATTGGGTTGTGCCGGTGAGGTGGTAGGACGCCAGCCAGACTCGGTCGGCGTGGCGCGTCTACTGGCCATAGAAGAATTGTTCACATTTATTCAACCAACCGAGCGGGTCATCTTTGCCGTCGTAGGTGGGGAATGAGAGTTTATGGAAGCGGGGAACGGCCGAGCCGGCTGGCTCGGGCGGTATGTGCGGCAGTGTTGGTGCAAGGTGCATGGGGGCGGTGGACATGGCAGCGGACAACGACGGAAACGGAGCACCCTGCATTATCGACGACAGGGACGGCACGGGTGAAGGCGAGGGAGGAAACAAGATGTGAGTAATAGGAACACCCATGGATGATGGCGGTGGCGGAGACAACACGGCCCCAGCGAATGTCGCCCGGGTGTTGGAGGGCGGCAGAGCCGGTTGGATCGGCGGCTAGTAGGACGGCACAGAGACGTACTCCGAGATGGTCGGCCGGACGCGCGTAATCTTGCCGGATGCCGCCATACCGGGCGATCCATATTGAACAGTTGCCGAAGAGGGCGATGGATCGACCCTCGGCCGCCACACGCAATGACAAGTCGCCGAAATGGGCGCCGCATTCCATAGATGGCCGCCGTCAACGCGTTAAACGCCTCCTCATGGGAAAAAAGACGGCACGTCGTCGGCGGTGAATAGGGGAGCGACGCGGTGGGAACTAGTGCGATGGGAGGTGGCCTTGGCGGTGGTGGGGGCGGCGAGGGCGGAGGAAGCGGCGGCGGTGGGAGCGACAAGGGCCGAGGAAGACATGGTCGCTGATACCAGGTTGTTGCGGCCTCGGGATCTCAGGGCATAGGGATGTGAGGAGGAAGGCCGAGGCTTGGTTTCCCGGCCAGTGGTCGGTGGCGCCGTGCTTTCGGCGCTGGATTGCTTGGATCGAGAACAATAACTCCAAACAGGCGCGCCAGAGAGCAAGAGAGGGTAATCCCAATCCTCTGGCTAAACTTTATTAAGCACCAATGTTCAATACTTATACTCCAATCCTAACCACTTTCAGCTAATGCAAAGGGATCACAACCAAATGACTCATATCCTAAATACTCTCCTAAACTCTAGGATCTAGCAACCGACACTCAACTGACGCTAGTGATGGTGACCGCGCTCTGGCCCGGCTCGACGCCTTGGCCCGGTCCACTTCTCAGCCACTGGCCTTCTTCTTCCTTGTGTAGACGTTGCCCACCATAACAGATGGTCACCGCACGAAATATAACTCTGCCTCTATAGTATGACTACAGATACTTAGTGTGTGTCAGCACACTGTTTCAATGAAGAAGTGTGTCATACACACTGTTCAAAGAAAAAGTCTCTCACACTTTTTAAATTTTACGAGTCACATTTACCTAACGAAGATTGAATTTCGACTCATAGCATTCAAGCTGACTCTTGAGGCCACAGACGGATTTGTACTATATATGCTACAGTGCCCCTTTCCTAAATTGGAGTTTGGATGGGGGTATTGGGGGTAAGGTGATAGTGTTGGTTTGGGGATTTTGATCATACCGATCAGGTTCTTCTCTCCCTTCAATCACCGAAATGACATTCTGAATAGTAACCATCGTCTCATTCCCCTATACACAGAAAACAACAAATAGCAAAAGAAGATTTTATCTGTCCTTTTCCAAGTTTCCATCTACTCCTTTACAGCAAAAGATCCACTTACTATGTAGGTCAGGTTGAGCACTGCCGGGCCGGGCCCAATCCTGTAAGCCGCCGCGCCATCGCCTCCTTGCCAATCCTTTGGCGCCACATCGCCGCCGATGAGCTGTAGTATGGTCTCCCCATCCTTCCAGGACACCGGCAGCGCCGGTATCCCCGGCATGTCATCGGAGCTCATCGCCTCCGCGATGCTCAGGCGCTCGCAGCCCTCCGACGACGGCCACATCGGCGTCGTGGGGTCCCCGACCCCCTTGAACGTGCTACCCACCTGCACGCCTGTCGGCGGCATCCACGGTCCGTCCGGGAAGGCCTTCCCGGCCGCGTAGTCCTTCGCGTCGGTGTATATTACCGCCGCGGCGGCGCCGGCGTCGCGCGCGTTCCTGACGATATCGCCACGGAACACTTTGCCGTAGCGCGCGACGGCGACCTTTCCGGTGACGTTGATGCCGCGCGCGGCGAGGTAAGCGTAGTCCTCTGCGCGGCCGTAGTTGGCGTAGACGGCCTCGGCGGCGACCGAGCCGGAGGCCGCGTAGGCGAGGAAGGTGGGGACGGCCTCGGCGGAGACCGCGTCGTAGGGGTCGCCTGCGTAGGTTTCCTGCTTCAGAGCGAAGAGCACCGTGTCGCGATCCGGCGCGGAGAGCGAGAGAGCGCGGTGCGCGGGGTAGGAGAGGAGCACGGAGTAGCTCGTGAGGCGGGTGGGGAAGGAGTGGGAGGAGAGTGCGGAGGCGACGTGCGCGGCAGCGAGGGCGTTGGCGCCCGTGCCCGCAAGGTGGGGGCGGATGGTGAGCGCGTGCAGGTGGGCGGCGGCGGTGTCGTTGGAGCCGAGCGAGAGGAGGGACTGGTAGTAGGACGGCGCGGGCGAGAGGTGGAAGAGGAGGTGGTAGGAGGCCGCGAATGCCGCGGCGATGAGGAGCAGGAGCGGGAGCGGGCGGAGCCTCACGGCCGCGCGGCGCGGAGCCGGGGGCGGGAGGAGCGCGGCCCGCACCGCGGAGTCATGGACCCCGTCCTGGGGAGGAGGCATGGTGCCGCGTCGTCAGGGAGGGCGACTAGGCGGTGGCGTCGTGAGAATTGAGATGGTTAGCCGGCGGCTGTACTGTACGCGGCGGAGACGCTGCAGTTACACGAGAGAAGCGGAGGGCACGCCGAGTCTGGGAGGGTGTGTCTCCGGCTGTGACTGTGTTAGCGCAGGGTGTGTCGCTGACAGCTTGGGGGCGGGTGAACGTTTTCGTTCGCTATCGTTCGCGGGGTGGGAGTGCGCAGCCGGCAGCGTTCGCGTATCGGATGTTTTCGCCTTTTTATTTTTTTTATTAATATTATATTATATTTATTATAGAAAATAAAAAAACGGCGCGGGCCTAGCCGAGTGGATGGCGACGTGGAGATTCGGACTGCGCCCTTTATAATCTCTTACACAATGATTTATTTTCTGAGGTGGGTGGAGCGACGTAGACTGCTGGGAGGGAAAAAATATTGGGCAGGCTGATTTTCTCTCTTTTCCAACTTTGCCTTCAAGAGCATCGAAGATGTGATTGGGCTTGGGCCGAATGCTTCCTTGCATCAGCCTTTATGGTCAGGATTCTGTGAACTGCACATCATGGCCTACTGCTCTGCAAAGAGTCGGCACCAGCTTCGCCTATACAGGAGTCAAGGGAGATAAAAGAAGCCATATAAGAACTAGTTTGGATACAACGGCCTATTCCACGAGATGATTGATCTAAACATGAGGCCAGATAATCCAAACGTTTCGCGTCATAAAAGGACTTTGTGTCCATTCAACTAAAATTTAGCTAGCTAAAATTTCAAAGCTAAATTTTAACCAGCTAAAAGTCCTCTTAGTTAGGACATATGGATCCTCCAACTAATAGACTCAGCTAAATTTTAGCTGGGTTGAAGTAGCTAAACTTTAGCTGGTCCATTTGGATCGCTAGCAGCTAGATTCGGTGGATCCAAACAGGCTGAGAGGCTGGAAAACATATATAAAAAGACCTGTCACCACTTTGGCTCCGTTCGCTTCGCTGAAAAAACAAGTCGAAATACTGTTCTGATTGATTTGTTGTGAGAAAAAAATAATATTCTGACTAAAAAAATAAACTGAAAAGTATGAATTATAAGAGAAAGCAAACGGAGCCTTTGCTGCCATCTCCTTATCTGCTCTCGTGAGCCTTGCTCCCCACAACTACGCTTCTGCCTTGGAGGCCGCCAGGGCTCCGGCTGAAGTTGTCCGTTCCGTTCGGAATACCCGATTATTGCGCCATTTCCAGATGTGCCAACAACATAGGAGTAGAAAGGTCCCAAAGTGCTTAGCTGGGATGTGGCTCGGGTGTTGAAGGTACATAAGTTTCTGAATTTGTCAATCCGCTGCTGTTGTGATGCCAATTGTATCCTAGAAACAAACTACCCGTAGATGCACAACTAAAGATTTTCTCTCACAACATTTCAGCATAAACGAACAGGCTGAATATGTATTGGGGTCTCATCTGAAGCATGACAGATTTCACAAGTTGCACTGTTGATGACACCTTTCTTCACCAGGTTCGTCCTACACTGAATTCGTCCTTGTGATAGCAGCCAGACAGATTTCACCCCAGTTGCACTGTCTTGATGACACCTTTCTTTCAGCGCTTTCCCTGCACGGAACGCGATTTTAAAATGCGTCCTACACTGAATTCGTCCTTTTGATAGCAGCCAGGCAAAGAATTTCACCTAATGCGGATTGAAAATCACGGAATGCGCTTTGTCTTGCCAGACGGAGCCATCGGTTTCGGCGCTTTCCCTGCACGGAACGCGATTTTAAAATGCAAGCGACTGACGTTTACACTGAATTGCTTGCAAACTTCATCGCCATGATGATGATGATGCCCCCATCTCGTTAATGCATGACTGCAGCGCCGCAAACTGACAAGAGGTCGGTTCATGACAGGGGCCCGGCTGGCGGCTTTGATTACGCTAATGATCATCTCCATCGGCTGATCTCGATCGATGACGCACTGACGCGAGAAAGCATGTGAGACCGCCCGACGGCAGCCACCGAATCCACCACTGGTCGCTCGCCTTCTAGACCCGTACTGGAACGGGAGTGATTGCATGCAAGCTGCCAAGCTTGGGTGATCTAGCGTCCCTTTTGCTCTAGTGGACCGCCGACCCCGGCCGGTGATCCTCTGATTCTGATGTCGTACGCGCAGCCGTCACCATCACCACAAGCAAACTCGTGGCTGGTGAGAAGGTCCACTGCCTCACACGAATGATGCCTGAACGGAGACTGTCCTGGCGATTCCTAAAGTTACACGCAGGTACACGCAATGCGAGAGAAAAATATAAGTGAAGGTGGAGTTAGTCAGTGCCTGTGTGCCTGGTTGTTAGTAACTGCTTAAGCAAAAACCAGAGGCCATGCTCTATTTGCACTCCAAATCACTGACAAAGGCAGGGGAAGTACGGGAACGTGAAGAAATGTTGTCGGTGGCCGATAAAACGGACCTGCATTAAGTGACTGTTTAGTTCCCAAAATTTTGTAAAATTTTTCAAGATTCTCCGTCATATCGAATCTTTGAACGCATGCATGAAGCATTAAATATAAATAAAAAATAAAACTAATTACACAGTTTAGATGAAATTCACGAGACGAATCTTTTAAGTTGGTGGCCTAATTGTCATAAAACGAAAGTCTTCTGATGGATTTCCTTCGCATTAACCTGAGTAACTGAACAATCAGGTGCGGTTGGTGGAGCCCAAATCGGAGCTGGAACACAGCCAAGCCTGCCAGCCATGATGAATGTGCGCGAGATACATCTCGTTTGTTTGAGCTTATTTGGTTTATAAGCCGTACTTTTTCAATTAACGAACATTAATATTTTTCTCTCATCACTAAATCAGTCAATAGTACTTTCAGTCATGACTTATCAGCCAAACAAGCCTAAACGAACAAGCGATAGCATGGCATCATGCATGCTCGACACGACTACGATGTCTGTCCACAGAGAATTGAGACGGCAGGCATGCAGACGCAGCTGCCTCTTGCATGGTCGAGCACCGAGCCTAGCGAGACGTAGGACGAGTAGAAAACCACACGCGGCGTGTGGGCACGGACACGTCGCCTCTGTCCTCTTGTCCTAGGCCTCGGCCACACCACAACCTGTAAAGCCAGCCCCGCGCTTGGCAGCTACCACGGCCGTGATCGAAAAAAGCAGCCGTAGCAGCGCCGGGGCGCTGCCGAAAAAGCAGGCCTGGCCGGCTGGCCGCCGCCCCGCAGACCGCGACATTTCGGTGTTCAGCCCGTAGACGTACGTAGAGGCCGGGTTCACGGAGTCGCGGTCACGGGTAGGGTAGCGGCAGCAGAACGAACAGGGCGACAGATCGGCGAGCTGGACGCATTACAAGGGTGGCGAGGATCAAACAGCAAGGAAGTAGACACTGCCTCGAAGAGGGAGATGCATTTGCAATTCTGCGTGTGTAGGGCTTGTTTAGTTCGCGATTAGGAATCAGTATTTGACGCTGTAGCATTTTTGTTTGTATTTGATAATTATTGTTCAATCCTAGCCTAACTAGGCTCAAAAGATTCGTCTCGTAATTTACAATCAAACTATATAATTAGTTATTTTTTTATCTACATTTAATACTTCATACATGTGTCTAAATATTTGATGTAATGTTGAGAGTGAAAAAACTTAGAATCTAAATAAGGCCGTACATCCGTCATCCGGCTAGAATTTCATGGATAGATGGGCTACAGAATCTGTTGTAGATAGGCCATGAAAAAGGGAAATGTTTATGAAGACTTGGAACAGTGCGTCAGTGCGTGGAGTCGTGGGATCGGCTTGGGTTGCCAAACTTCCTCGTGTGGTGCAGTACTACTACCTTGGCTGGTGCTCGCGCTTCATGCGTTGTTAGAGGGCGCGTACGTGACGGACTTTTGTTTTTCTATTCTTTCCTCTTCTCTCTTTTTAGTTTTTTCCTATACATTTATTTGCTCCTTCCTTTCTTTGTTGCTGTAATTTTGGTTTTCTAGAAAATTTACTAGGGAAATTTGGTTTGTACAAACTTGTTTATACATATTTGTTTGCATAAAAGTTGTTATAGTTTGCTAGAGACCGCGGTAATGGATATCTTCAATGTACTAAGAATGGGTAGTTGTCTTCTAATAGGCTTAGTGCTTAGTATACCATTCAGTTTGAGTTTGTCTTCAAACTTGGTTTTTGCGAGTCTTTAGTCAGCTGAAGGCTGAATCTATAATAATGGATAGTTAGGTGCATAACTCTTGTAGAGGGTGGAGTAAGTATGATTTTTTTGAGAAGTTCGGGGCCACGTTTTCATTTCATAAAAGGAGCATACATGAGCAGTTTGTTATATGTCGTTTATGGAGAAATTAGCATGGGGTGGGGAGAAGAACAACAAAGCCCAAGCATGGGCAACATGTCTATCTGATGGGGGCAACCTACATGCCCAAAGCTCGGCATCTTCACGACACCCCGCGAAGAGGCGAGTGTAGCAAGGAGGCAGGGAACGGAACACAACATCGTGCATGTGCTTCCAGAGACGCCAACAACAAAGTAGAAGAAAGGCATTGAAGTGGACAGCAGGGATGGTGGACGGTGGTTGAACGCGCCAAAGAGCAGCAACATATTCTTCATCAATTTGCACACCAATCCAGTGCCAAAAGCCAACTGCAAAGGCGCAGCCGGCAATAAGATGAGCTGTGCTTTCAACCTAAGCACCGCACAACTCACATAGGTCTAAGTCAATGCAGTTCTTCTTGAGTAAATTCTCCCTGTGTTTGAATTCTGTCTTGGACGAGTAGCCAGCCAAAAAACTTAACTTTGGGAGGGGCACGGTTCTCCCAAATAAACTTATAATAGTCACAGCTGACACCTACTGCAATGATAGACTTGTATATCATGGATGAACTAAGACGATATGCTTTGTCCTCCCATAGGCAGCGGCGAACATCCGGAGCATTGGTGAGATTAATTTCTGCAAGCACAGCGGTCAGTTGGGTGAGCTCCTCAGTGGCAACAGAAGAAAGCCAGG